ACAGTGCATAATCTCCTTATTCCTTAAACTGCTCTCCAATGTCTCAGATATCCCAATAGGATATGATTCTGAAGAGTTGCTTGTAACACACCACCCTGAAGGGCCGTTTAAAATGTGTAGAAGCTTGTTCCAAAGCAAGAAATCTCTCGAAGTACCCGCAGAATAAATTGTCGTGTCAGCAGTATTGATCAACCTCGCTTTCAACACTCTGCAGATACATTATGGCTGTAAAAACCTTCTTTAATGCAGCTTTAATCCATGCCGACAGCCTAGCCCAGACTCTTATTGTCTTGTAAGTGCAGTCATTATCTGTGATGTTCAATAAAAGACCCTACTGAGAGTTCTGCTAAAGGTGAACTACGTGCACCCTGATGAATGACGAAGTGGGGTATTTGTATGACTAAATAGCTGAATATACTACCTTCTCAGTTCTTGCTTTGGGTTCTTCGGTTCCCTTTTGCAGCAGACGGTAAACTTCTGTGCTTGTTTTTATGCCTGCTGTTGTGCATTCATTAGCAAGAAAGCTCAGCAAAAATTATACACACCCTCTGCAGTAAAAGAGGCAGCAGGCATCTTTCGTCCTCTGAGATTAGGGAAGTAGATGAGAGAGTACAGAAGCTGGTTTCATCCCTTTTCAAGGTACACATTCACTGCTCTTTGAGAGCTAATGAATGGCGTCTTCACAAGACGTGTGCTTGTTCTACTGTGCTTTCTCTTACCTGCATGTGTTGGAAGATATACTTAGAGTCAAAACCTCTTCAAAACTTATTTAAAAGAAAAGATAAGTCCACAAAGTGTGTGTTAATATGGAAGAGAGTTCATGTAAGTTCACTGGCAAGGCAGATTTTAAAGTAAAGATTGCTGTATATACATCAGGACAGCTACTATCACTGATCCAATTCTAAGATGACTGCTCTGACTATTGAGTAAGATGTTATTTCTTAAAGCGTACCAGTCTTATTTGTATTTAAAGCTCCACTTGTTATGAGAAAAAGTTAAGCTAATATGCAAAATATTCACTTTTACTTACTCAGAGTTGCATATTTTACAACATATTATGATAAGCTGACCTGACAGGCTTTTGTAATAGTGCTACACTAAAAATGTGCTGGTTAGCAAAAGGTGGTTTACCTTTATAAAACACTTAACAGAAGGTTAACACAGGTTTTTGAAAATAATCTTCTGAAATATTTGTCAACTCGTAAGATTTACACTTCCTTCTAAACATATGATGAGGATTGAGGGGTTAAAATGTGCAGCACACTACTTCACTGCGTTAAACCTCTATGAATGCCAATTATTACATTGGTTCTGGTCTACTAGTTTCAAAGCTCTTTTCCCTCTTCATACATATATAAATTGTGGAATATTAACTTCATTTCCTCTGTTGCTTTCCTGCTCTTAAACCTGAGATGGCTCCTTAGACGCCCAATGACCGTATACACGGCTGCTTGCATGGCACAAAGTGGAATGATTTCATTCTTACCACCCACTGGAAAGCAATCTATGGCATGTAATGTGGAACTCAAATAGCAAATCTATGTCTATAAGCATGCTTCGGTACGAGTCAGCAACTGGCTCACTTAACAGGGAGATAATTTAGCTGGAGGTCAAGGAGACCATATTTTTAAAGGGGGCGGGGGGGTGAGGGGAGTCTGAATCCGTCCCTGCAGCTTGCTTCCAGGTGATGCGGTGTTCAGGTATCACAGATATTGAGGAACTTACTTAGGAAAATGGAAATGTAAGATGACTAAGAATTTGCACAAGAAAAAACAAATATTAGAGAGGGATGATGGAGTGACTCCTTTTTGTGAGCTATTCTGTTCAAGATAACAGCTTTTGTGAAGGCTTAGTGGAATCAATGGTAAACTTCAAGTTTTTTTGCGACAGAGACGAGGAAACAAACATCAATGTCTGCAGGCACAAATAAAAAGGAAATAAGAGAGAATGCAATACAACAACAGCTCTCTAAGTCTGTTCTCATGAATGTGAAATTTCACTTGTCTACTGTGTTCCCCATGGTGTTTGGTGGAGCTCAGCAATGCATTTCTGATTCTCCTTTCGATCCTGCCTAGAAATGGAATATCACTGCCATGTTTTGAAAGCGTGCAGATGTATGTGGCAGGAAAACAACACTCTTTTTTTTTCCTCTTTATGAGCTGAACATAGTTTTTATTCATTTATTTTTTAAACCAAATTCAAATAAGATTTGTTCCAGGTTCCTTTGGTTACAATGTTACACAATATCAGGGAACGTTAATTTTAGAGTAAACACAGCATGAATATTGAGTTATCATGCTTAATCATTATTGTTTGATTGCTGTTGGTGAACTTAGAATCTGTTTTATTTGAGAATATCTTGGAAATTTAGGTTTCAAAAGATAATCATAATCTATAATATAAAGTGCATAGAAATTATATCATAATTAATGAAAAACTTTATCAGACAAATTAGAGCAGGTTGCAGTAAACTGTGAAGCAGCCATGGTGAGATCAAATACTGCACTGTAAGTTGGAGGCAGTATATTCAGAATTACAGTTTGGGTTGGCTTTCAGAGTTTGCATCAACTTTTTCATGAGTATAATAGGATTTGAGATATACCGGTAGATGGATGAAGAAGTTGGGGCTTTATTCCCGAATATGCTGAAAATTCTCTTGCTGAAGAATGAGCTAAGAATAAAAGAATGTATCTGCTTTTAGATCAAACGGTTTGTGTATTTGTTTGGGATCTTTTCATAGTAACTCTGTGTGCGATTAGCAAAATACATCCTACTGAAAGGAGGTGGGTGTGCAAAACCAGAATTTCCTGCTTTAGTTTTTGCTAAGATTCTGGTTTTGAAAGAGCAATCAAATTTAATAGTTGGACTGCATTACAACTGCATTGTAAATGCAAGAAGTACTGCAATGATTATATTTTAACTTCCTTGCCTTGACACGTCTTAACTGTTTGATGCCAGTGAGGCATATATATATATGTATATATATATATATATATATAATTTTTTTTTCTTAGCTCTAAAAATGCCCCACATCATAAGTCCTTAGTTTATGTTGCAGGCAGCATTTTGCTGATCAAGTTGAAATAATTATTAAATCACGAGATGGATAAATCAGTGTATGTCTAATTCATTATTAAGAGTGAAGTGTATGAGTACAGAGGCAATCGGCGCCTAATGAGGGCCTCATAACAAATTTTTATTAGTGGAACCAATCAGATTAATTGCTCCTTGCTCTGGGTTCTACTTTTATATATTGCTCTGCAGTTGTTTGTATATTAAGCCCCCCCTTTCCCCCCAAACATTTGTGGTGATAATTTATGCAAACAAATGGTCCTTCTTTAGTATCATAAACTAATCTGAGACAAGCCGCTGCACACAGATTACACAGATATTTTCCCTGCACACCCTTTGGTATGTAACTTTAAATAGATTTTTCAGGCCATTAAAGCCCATCTCTTGATTCATGTCATTAATTACATTTAGAAATACTCAATTAATTACTCTTTAATGAACCTACTCAATTAAGTCTGCACTCTTTTTAACTTAAATCCTTGCACTTTAAAGGCAAAACTAAGTATAATTTAGACTTTTTATGTTTTCCTCCTTGTAGGAAGCCAGCTGTGTTCTGAAGCTGTTTTGTAAAGGTCATACCTGCTCTTGCATAACATTTCAGTAACTGTAGAAAAAGCTTCAAAGAGAAATGTGATATTTTGGAGTAACACCACAGTAAATAATTGTGGATTGCCAGAAACTCAATTAGGTTTTAGACATGTAAGAGACAGATACCGCTGTGTTGACAGTATGCAGTATACAGACAGTAGCTCGGTTCCAGTTGGAAAAAGTAAGGCACTGTCAAGGTTACAGTCTTAAAATGTAAGTGGTAAAGTAGCATATCTATCTCTCTGTCTCTCACATTATATATATATATATATATATATATATATATATATATATATATATATATATATATATATATATATATATAAAATCTAATTTTTTCACTCATTTTTTCACAATTTTATCTTCTTTGGTAACAACTTAAGTCTAAAATCTATGATTTTTTTCATCATCTTAGCATAAAAAATGAACATGAATACATTTTATAAAATTTTAAAATATCCGTTAACTCTCTTTTTGGTTAAGCTACTGTATACAATCGGGTTTAGTTGACTGATGACTAGTTTAGTTTGCAACAGTGACTTTTATTGTTTTCACATGATGTGAAATTCATATGCAGGTGTGTTGAAACCATTCATGTGTTTAGGTACTGCCTGCAAGGCTACTTGCAAATGTGGGATATTAAAATTCCTAAGAATAAACTTATGTTAAATTAAAGGGTTGGATAATAAAATCAACTTTCCAATGCTCCTCACATTTCTGTCTGTAGGAATATTAGAGGACATAACAGCACATTTTTCGTAGTTTTAGGTCTGAAAAATAACTTAAAGACTTAAGGTGAAAGTCAGGCTGACTGATGAAAACATTTTTTTCCCTGTATATAGCTTGCTTGATAATGTAATTGATAATATACAATATATGTAATTATTTTATTTTATTTTGAGGACCAAGGGGGACTGGCCACCTCTAATTATTTTAACTGCTCTAACCCTATATACTTTTGTTCTTAGATCTGCAGACCAGATTTTTTTTTTTTTTTTTATCTTTCTGGTTATAAATCTAGACGAGACAAAGCTTTTGCAGTTTTGACTCCAAAGTTGTGTCATAAATTGTCTCTGATGATCAGGCATGCTCCAGCTTGTGATATTTGTAAAACTCTTCTGAAATCTTCTTTTGCATTCGCTTTTAAACCAGAGTGAGCTTTCTTTGTCTTTCTTCCTCTTTGGTTTTATCTTTTTTTTTTTTTATGTATATACATGGTTTTGATTTTTGGTGCAGCACTTTAAAGTGCTCTAGAATTAAACTGGTATAGTAGATATTCATTGGTTACTGCCGTTACATGTTGACAAAATTTTCTGACTCATTGCTGTTTGTTTTTCCAGCTTTCTGTGAAGATGGTTGTCGGAGTGGAGGGACCTGTGTGTCCCCAAACACATGTGTTTGTCCCTCGGGATTTACAGGAAGCCGCTGTGAAACGGGTACGTTACTCAAAGCACGGTCTATGAATTTTCCTTCATTTAAAAAACATTGTCAAGTCTTTATTTATGTTTTCATCCAGACTGCTGCAAAAAGTGTAGATGGTTTAATCTAAAAAAGTTTTTGACACAGCAGGAAAAAAAAATCACATGGCTGGGGAGTAGAAGAAGATGATGATCCTGAATAAAATAAGTTGAATTTACTGTTTCTTTCATAGCACTTAAGGAGAGATAAGGTAAACAGCTTCTAGGGAGTGTGTATTTTATATTGTTGCTTTTGTTTACTGATACATATTAATGATAAGCAGTTCAAAAAACATAAAAGTCAGCAGGAAATATGTAGCCATATCAACATATTTCATGCTGTAGTCTTGCCTCAGGAATGCCTTAAAACAAAACTATTCTTATGTGATATGACTCTGTAACTTACAGCCTCAAGTAAGTGCATGACTTTTCTTTCTGGGGCTGTGATTTAGATAAGGATTGTAGAATATATGTTTTTTTTATCATTATAGTCTGTTTTATAGATATTGACTCATTTATAGTCAGTTTTCACCCAACTTCCTTTAAAACAATCTTTAAAATGTAGTTTAGTTATGCATATAGCTATGCTGAAGTTGAGATTTGTCTCTGTGACACCAAGCACAATTGGTTAGTGTAGGACTGGGATAAAGTGTCCACTGGGGATTCTAACCATGTGCACACTTAATACAAAACACACATTTATGCTCTAACTCCAGGCTCTTTATTTAAATTAAACACAGCAGAGATTGAGGATCCCATGAGAGCCGTAGGAAGGGACAGTTAATTTTTCTTGCTCTACATCCATTTTGCTTCTCTTCTTTATCTAATTTCTTTTTCATAACTCTCCTATTCTTTCCTTTTACACCATGCATTACATATTGGCATTTTTCTTTATTTTACACTGCACCTTCAACACCACCTTCTGTTTTATCCTTAGCTTTATTCCCAATCCATCCTCCTTACTAATTAAATTTTAGCCTTAACCCCTCCTTGTCTTTCATATGTTTTCTCAAATTGCCTCCATCCTTCCTTTTTATCTTTCAACAACTGCTGCTATTTAGTTTTTCAGTGCCATCGTTCTTTTCCTTTTCATCTCCCGTGTTTTCCACTCCCTCCTGTGAATTTATAATTCTCTCTTTTATCCTCAATTCCAATTTCTAAGCTCGCACTTCTTCACCCTATCTTTCTATTTTCACTCATACCTTTGAATATTTCATACTTATTTTTCCATCCTTTTTTCCATACATCTCTTAATTTCCTTTTTGTTAACTTGTCCATTCCTTTCCTCGCCATTTTGTCAGTATGTATTAATTCAGCTGCAACCCTTTTCTTTTATCCATTTCTTCTAGTTCTTTCTACCTCTTTTATGTAACCCTCAGTCTTGGCAGTCCAATTTCACAGAACTAATCAGCCAGCTCTCAGAGAGCACATATTTACAGGTCAGCTATTTACAGCCTGTTTTCTATGGTTTCCCCATAAGGCTTGTCAAAAATCTTATTTCCACATGCATTCAGGGTGCAGTCATAATATCTGAGTAACCTGCACAAGGATTTAGTTGTTTTTCACCCTTTTAAATCCAAGTTGTTTTCTCTGAAGGTCTGTGTTGTCTTTTTACAAGTGTATTTTTTTGTTTATGGTTTAAGAGTTGTAGAGTGTACATCAAAATTATTAGATTTAATTACTTTAGAGCTTAACGAACAGAAGAAACCCAATAGGCCATAAAAATAATCAAAATTTAAATCCAGCGTGGCATTCATGTCCTGTGCACCGCAAGCTATCCAAGGTTACTAACTCCAATTTAAAATCAAATTCATTTCTATTAGACTTTGAAATATAACCCATCATTCTATTCTGAAAGAATAGTCAAATATTTGAAAAAAGCAGTTAAGGTTATTTAATTTTTTATCAATTTCTTTTAGAGGTCAAACATCATATTTTTGGGGGTGGGTTTGCACCATTAAAAGTCCTTTTGAGCGCAAATTCATAATATAACTTTAGCACTACCTTGGTACTAACATGTTTCTTTTCTTTTTTAACCTCAATGAAAAACATTTTCCTGTCCTGGCAAAGGTTCTACAGCGCATCTTGATCACCAGGAGCAGCGAATCTTGATCATATTAGCATCTGAGGCCCTTGCAGTGTTTCACAAGCGGCTAATGCTGGAGTTGAAAAATATGAACTTTTTCTGCTCTATGCGCCTCATCAACCAATCAGAGAAGCTGATCTAGTAGGTTGCAAAGAGATAGACTCAGCTCTGCTGTTATTATTTTGGTGCTTGCAGCTTTTAGCATATACATGAAAATATCTACTTCAAGCCAACACCAGCAGTAGTGCAAACCTCTGAGAGGCTGGCCAGCCTGAAGCAGCTACTGCTGGGGATTTTCAGTGATGGCGCGCCATCGGAATTGGGGGTCTGAGCGGCTTCAACAGCAAAATAATATTTGAAGCGGGATCATAAACTTTATCAACTGACTGCATAGATGATGTTTGGAAGTAGACTTTTTAGCTCAAGACATATTAAAACATTTTTTCACTAACTTATCACAGCAAACATAGCAAAGCAACCCTGCCATTGAACACAAGAGCAGTACAAGCATCAGATGCATCTGCACACACTTGAGGTGCATCTGACCTTAATGTGGACTAGCATCCAAAATGGAGCAGCAGATGCTTCTCGGCTGCTCCGGTCGCGCTCATTGTTAACCCAGCATAAGACATTCGTTAAAAAAAAGAGAGGTTTCTGCACTGTGCGGATTAGCCACTATAACAGTAATTTGTCTCAACTTTGGGCCTGAATCTTCACTCTATGCCTTACATCACTCCTTTCTGATCTAAGAAAGTAAGCATTTGTTTACAGTGCTGGCAGGTTTAGATTGCAATATTTCGCCATTTGGGATGATTTTTCAGTCACACAAGAATTCTTTGGATCTGGTGAAGTTTGAGCATCATCGTGCATCTTGTTTTGTGTAGTATACAGAGGATAACGAGGGGAGATTAGCCTCTCTCGGCGACCTCCCAATCAGAAATCTTAGGAATGAAAATAAAACATTTTGGAAATTTTGTGAGCCCTGGTGAGGGTGATCATGACAGTATCTAGCTGAAGCAGAGCTATGAACATGCTCATGTGCAAACAAGGGAATTCTCATATAGAGTCTGACCAGTACCATCTCTCTACGGGATTGAGTCCAATGTATGGTCTTTGGACCCACAGAGTGAGCAGTCAGATTGCCTCAGAGCATCAGGTTGTATCCCGTCGAAGAACATATCATTAGCTGCTCACTTTTTAACTGTGTGGTTTCATAGTACAACTTCTGGGTTGTGCTGTTAGACAACAGAGCTCAGAAAAAAAGATTCCTCACAGATTCTTGAAATACCACTGTGTGTATGATTTTGATGAAAAAACAGCATACTTATGAGTTCAAGATGTTAATTTTGCATGATATAGGCTCTTTAAACTGAAAAGCGTCAGATTGCAAGCAGTTTTACATCTAACATTTTTATGAAAAAAGTTCACAAAACTTGTCCTGTATCATACCTGATTTTGTTTTGTTTTTTTCAGAATATAAATGTGCTTGCCATCTGGTCTTGGATGAAAAGCCAGAACAGCAAAGCCTCTTGTTCCGATACTCCTGCTTCAAATCTACTGCAATCCTTTGGAATTGTAAAACCTCCAGTTGTCCGTCACAAGAAATTGTTGAAGAAAAACATCATGAAGACAAAATTAAACTGACATTTCAGCATGGATAGACTTATTAGAAGTGGGCTAAAGTCCAATGTTAACTTTAATGAATTTGCTGAAATCTGAGAAAGAACAACACATTATTTGAAAAATTAGCTGAGATGTAAGAATAAAACAATTTTTGAATGAAAGACATTTTGTTGCTGCACGCTGTGAGGAACCTCCTTTGAAGTTTGAAATGACAGGACTAAAAAATAACTTAGCCCTCCAGCAGCACATCCCTCCTATGATAATAATGAATGTTATACAGCGGAGGTCGTCAACAGGGGGTCCGTGACCCCTAGGGGGTCCACAGAGGTACTGCATGGGAGTCGCGAAAGTTTTAGTTGATTATACTTTTTTTTATATTCCCTCCTGCAATTTTTTCCACTAATTGAAATGTCTTTAAATACACATTAACATGAATTCAACACACTGTAGTAAACAGATAAATGGAGGCAGAAGATGTCTTTCAGTCATCAATGCACACATTCAGCGACACACAGGAGCTCTTTCAAGCTGGGCGCCGTTTTATTCACAACACCTGTCTCATCAACGAGGAATGAGAATCAGAACTACTTTAATAATCCCAGGGAGAAATAACTTTACTTACATTACTCCATATGTAATAGAGTGACTATAGGACCAGTTTAATAGAACACAATTTCATAGAATAAATATATAATTAGAGGGTCCCCACTCCATCTCACCATAGGTTTTGGGGTCCTTAGCTTGGAAAAAGTTGAAGACCCCTGTTAAACAGTAAGGTTTGTAGTTGAAATTTGGCAAAAGGCGATCATATTTAAGGGGCCCTAAAACTTTTTGGGGGGACTGTAGGTTCAGCTTCTCTTGAGTCATTATTTTGCTTTTCTAAATTTCTCTTTTCAAAGTTCTGTTGTGTGATCAAAAATAATAAACTCAATACATGTTAACTTATGAATACTTGGTAAATTCAAAAAAATTCTGATCTAGTTGCAAGTGATTTTATTGAATGCTGTCAACCAAGATATAATTAACTTACCAAATAAACAGAATAAATCTGTCTACCAGTTAACTACTAATGTGATAAGTTAAATCTGCAGTGCTGTTTACTTATAATTAAACGCCATGCACAAAAAAAAAAAAAACATATTTTCCTTTTCCTCTGGGAGCTTGCTTATTATTTTTGGATTCAAACTACATTTATTTTGATGAAAAGCAAAGAGGCGGCTTTAAAAAACTAGTAACTTGCATTTGCAAAATGATCCTGCATGTTTTCCTT